CCTTCCTTCTGGGGTGCCGCTGGGCAAGCCCTCACCCACAGCCGGTTGCCTAGAGCAGCTGCCATTAAAAGGCAACCATTGGTCTGGAAGGTGCCCCGTGTTTTTGTCCTTTTCGGTTTAGTGCTGCTTCTTTGGATTTTGCCCTATAGACGTTTATAAAGAAGTTTCTAAAATTCAGGGGGAGGCCAAAATGCAACAAACTTCATTATTCGCTGACTCGTGCTGAGGTGTTGTTTGTTTTTCTTTGTATTTTGTTTGTTTTCGGGTTGTCGTTGCTTACTTTCTAGGCCCCCTACATCTTTTTAGGTTGGCAGGCAAATGCTTCAGTTATGTGGAGTCCATGTAAGTAGTCTTTTTAATAGACTAATCTATTATAATATTTGAATTCTCTAATAACTGAATTGAACACAACTATCTTTTCTTTTTTTAATATTTAGGTACAAATATGAATTTTGCCCATTCCATAATGTCACCCAGCATGAGCAGACTTTCCGCTGGAATGCCTACAGTGGAATCCTTGGGTAAAAAGACAGTTTTATTTCTATGTAGTTTCTGTGTTTAACAGAGTAAGTTTTAGATTTTAAACATTTGGCTGAGGGAATTGTTAGAGACACTTTCAGATCCAGACAGAACTAAAGCTTGCTATGAGGTTCAGAAACATACTCCCCTGAGCCCTCTCCTATCATCAGGGTAATCAAAGCAGACCTGGAACTGGATATAGATAAGCTGGACCTTTTGGATTAATCTATGCGGTGCCATCGCAATTTTTGTAAATGTTAACTTACATAAAAGATATTTACAGCAGATGAACTCCTTTATGTTTCTTTGTTTTGTATGCTTAATCTATTCCAAAATATTTTTTTTCTTTATAGAATCTGGCATGAATGGGAAATAGAAAACAATACATTTGTTGCTATGTGGATGAGAGATGGGGACTCGTGCGAAACCAAAAACAGACAAACAAAGGTAAAATCACATGCTTAGGAAGCAAAACGGTGTCTTAGAGTGGCAGTCTACTGTCTTTTAAAATGTTCTTAAGCCTTATCATAACACTCTACAAAAATGGTGAGCTTTTCTGGTATTTTCACTGTTGAGATAGTTAGTTTAGTTATAAGGTTCTTACTGTTGAGTTTCGGGAGATCAGTCCAGAGAAGCTATTTTCTCTGAAAGTCACAGGCCCCCCCCTCCCCAGGTAAAGCAACTCCACAGAAGCTAATCTGGGTAGTGCTGCCTTGTAGTGGAGAGATGGACCGTGTGAGACAAAAGTTCCAGCCTAGATGGCATGAAAAATCCTTCCTCCCATGTATCTCATTGCCGTGATAACCCTTGGTGCTCCTTGGCTACTTGAGCAAGTGATTCACGTGGTGAAACGGAGCTTCACAACAACCCAGCAGTAGCCGTGGGTCAGCCTTGTTTCACTAGCACTCCATTCCCTGCTTTTCAGGTACTTCTGGTATGTGGAAAGAACCACCGATTGGCTCACGTGTCAGAACCAAGCACCTGTGTTTACTCTCTCACATTTGAAACACCGCTGGTCTGCCACCCACATTCTCTCCTTGGTAAGATGCCTGTTTGGGGAGAAAATCAGAAGACTCTTAAAAGATGCCACTTGTTTTGTACCTTTGATGGGATACCTGGTACACATCCCACATGCCAGTTGTATCCCATCCACCTGTTTCATTAAGCAACACAGGCAGGGTATCTGTCCCCAAGGCTGCAGTTCAGTAGGAGAATCTGCTCCCAACCTGAGAGGCCTGGGCTTCGGGATTGAGTTTGCAACTTAGAGAGAGAGAGAGAGAGAGAGAGAGAGAGAGAGAGAGAGAGAGAGAGAGCGTGCGTGTGTGTGTGTGTGTCAGAGCCAAAGAAACATAAAGGTAGTAGGAGCAGGGTGGGGGAGGAACCTGATAGTTACATAGGAAGAAAATCATAGGAGGAAAAAATACAGATAAGGGAGTACAAAATACCATATCCCAGAAAACTTAGTGGCAACTGGAAAAGAAAGGCTGAAGACGTGTGACTGATGGACGCCTCTACCTAGCTGGTCATCAGAACAGGGGCAATGTGTCAAGAGAGGATGATTCTAGGATCTTGTGAGACTTCAGGTACTGGGAGCAGGGGGGGGCTTTTGTCCCACCTGTCATCATAGTATCTCTAGCTTGTGTGGGTGACCAAGTGGGGACCTTTCCACCTAGGGCCATCTCCTGCTGCCAGCTAAAATGTCTTGCGTTGTGCCATCAGTTTTGCTGGTCTAAGGGTGGTGCTCAAGGGACATTTGCTTGAACATAGAATGCTTCTCCAGCCCTCCCCTCCTACTAACTGCAGCGGTGGATATGCCTGGGATATGCCTGCCAGTAGAGACGCAGTCCAGACGGGTACAGGGACAGCAGGCCTTGGGGGAGGCTGCCTGTTTGTAAAATGAAGCTAGACACAGGAAGAGGAGAGCAGTGGGACAGCCCGAGAGAAGCCTTGGGACCAAAGGAGATGCTTTCTCTTTTCAGTGTATCCAGCTCTGCATCAAGCCCTCCAGAGAAAATGGGATGGATTGGAGCAGTTGCTCTATGACAACCTCATCACAAGCCAGGTGTGTTCCTTTAACGTGTCCCATGGTTGGCCTTTGTTGCCTTCAAGGAGTTTGCCGATGGGCACAGAGGAGTCCCACCCAGGAGGCCTTCTGCCCAGGCAGATGCCAGGGAGGCCCCAGTGGATGCCTTCCCACCACCACCAACAGTAACATCTGAGCCTCCATGTGGGTCAGAGAAAAAGCCTGTCTCAGTTCTGACCAGTAGCAGGTACAAGCTCAGAATAAAACCTGTGAGCATTTTATAAGCAAGAAGGGAGCGTTTTTTCACTTAGAAATGGTGGACAGAGTCCTTTTTGGTTTTTATTCCACACCATGCAAAATCCCACAAACTGCAGTCACCCAAAGGCAACCAGTGGACAAGGCAGCCAGCTGCATGCCTATCCAAACACGTCTGCTTCTGTTTCCCACTGGAATTTGCTCGGTTTCAGATAATCTGGAAACCCTAAACTGGATCCTGGACAGTCTCTTTCCTCCTTCAGTGAAGGAGGCTATCCTGGACGTTGGGGGTGGGGGGGCTCCTTTTTCCTCTTGTTCCAATAGCTGGGATTCTGACTGAGATAAGGAACCTGTGGCTCCCCCAGAGGCTAGGTTTCCTCAGGTGCACCTCTCCCCAGCTGATCCTCGTGGATGGGGGGAATCTGCCGTCCCGCCACCTGCAGGGGGAGGGCCGCCCTTTCCCCCTTCCTGCCTTACGCGAAGGTGACTTGTATGTGGTGCAGAGGAGGGGGTTCGTTATCAGCTCAGGCACTGCTTATAAGAGAGTGCTTGCCCTAAAGATCCTTGCACAGTTATCCTTTGACACCAGACAAATATATTTCTGGAGGGCTGCCAGTACGTGACTTTTTTTTTAAGATTTGCATTTTTTGACACAGGGTTTATTGTATATTATGGTGCAATTAAGCACTAATGTCCTGTTTAAAAATGTGGAGCATCACAGCTGGTGTGCTTCTGCATTTGCCCTGGCAACCTCTGGCTCGTGTGAACCTGGCTGGCACTTGTTATGTGAGGTTCTTCTGGAAACAAAAGGTGAACCATCAGTAGTACTTTGCGTGCAAGACAATAATTTGATGACATGTTTTGTTCTCCAGGGGTACAGGAAACAGCTGAGAGAGATATTTGAAGAAGCCAGGTTCTTAAAATCAACAAAAGAAATTAAAGAGATGAAAACAGAATCTCGGCATCTGGAATTCGAGTCTGTGGAAAAGTGCAGTGAGGTACCCAAGGGGAGTCATTTTGGTGTTTCGCTGGTCCGCTTGGGCTTTCTGCCTTTGGCCTGTGTCCTGCTCCCTTTGCTATGTCAGCTCAGGATTTCTGAACAAACACATGAATCCAGAACAGGGATGGGCCTCAAAAGTTTGCCGAGTTAATTATCTCTTGGCTTCAGTGTATTTGAGTAGGAGCTGGAAGGGGTAGGAGTGGGGAAGAGTTGTGACCGCCTAACCCTAACCTGTTGTTATTTTTTTAAACCTGTCTTTGTGGCAAATCAGTCCATGATTAAACTCTCCTCCCTTTTTCTAGGAGTACCAGAGACTTTCTCAAGATCTACACAAGCTCACAGCTCTGTTGACTGAGCATGGAATTGCATACGAAACCCTCATTGGTGTGTCAAGCAAAGTTCTGTCCCCCTCCTGATGACACTGAAGTGGCAATCTTTCTTAGAACATCTGTTTGGGAAGAAATAGGTCCCTGCAGACAGTGCAAGTCCACCCCCCCCCCTCAGCATGAATGGAAAGGACCAGGGTTGCAAGACTTTGTTTTGTTTAAGAACGAAGTATCAGAAAATAAACTCTATACTTGCACTCCCAAATAGGTGGACTCATTATGTATCTATCATTATTCCAACACTCTACCATATTTGTCAGAAAGGGATTACTGTAGTTATTCTTTTAAGAAAGAAAGAATTGGCACTGGTTTTTAAAGAAATTAGAAAAAATATTGGATATGATATTCAGATATCACCAATTATTGCCCTAATAAATATAATTAAGAATGACCATCTAAAAAAATATCAGAAAGATTTAATTGTTATAACGGTTACAGTAGCAAGACTAATATTTGTAAAGAATTGGAAAAGCAACAAACAAATTAATATTGAAAGATATGTTGAGTTTAGCAAATAAGTAAACATGTGAAATGAAAATAAGAAAAGGAATGGTAAAATCTAGTGATTTGAAGCACATATGGAATTTATACTTGGGAGTATGTCTTTTCGAAGGGGAAAGACTATAGGCTAGCAAAAGAATCCATGTCATTTTGGAGAAGAAGGGGTAAAAAGGGACATAAATAGATATTACTGGTCTCCTCGTCCCAAGGGTAAAAGTGGTGGCACAGTGGGTGAAGTCCAATGTGCGTTGTGTATAGTTACTATTGAATTTGTATTTTAGTTTTAATTTTGTAAAAAATAAAAACGTAAAATTAAAGAACAGCAACATTGGAGGGGTGTGTGTGAATTATCATACTGTTAACTATAAAAGAAAAAGTGTAAAGACAACAACTGGACCCGCAATGACCCCACACCACACCACTCCTAGAACAATTTTCTGAATAAAACAGAAATGAAAAAATAGAAAAGAAAAAAACGTTGTGGTATCTTAAAGACAAACTGCTCTATTTTGCTGTGAGTTTTGTGAACTAGTCCACTTCGTAACAGGGTTACCTCTTCACAGGAATCCTCTTGATTTGTGCAGCCTCTGGTTCCCAGTTTGCGGCATGAACTTGCACTGTCTTGCAGTTACAGTATGTGAGATACTATTTCAGCTCAATATCTGCTCCTTTGTTGCCTTCATTTCTGGTCTGCTTCTTTTCCTTTCTGAGGGTAAGCAAGATAGCTCACTGTGAAGGAAATTAGCCTGGGTCAGAACAGCAGTGCATTACATCATTACAGAATGCAGCCAGTATAACTGCAAAAATTGCAAACTGGAGAGTGGAGGGTAAAGTACAGAAGCCCTGCATATTTTCTTTGCTTTTCTTCTCCAATAGAACACAGAAAAGGCAACAATCACAGTACCAGTGGCTCCTCAAGGATAACATAGGAGAATTAGGAGGAAGAGGAGGTGTCGAGAACTCTGGGTTCTTGAGAAGGGTTATTCTCCCCTCGTGCTCGGAGGACTCCTGAGTTTCTCCCTTGATCCAATCCCTCCTCACATTCTTCATGGCCACAGTGGCCTCCCCTACTGCCTACAGTTTCTGGAGCACAAAAAAGTTCTCCAAAATCCTGTTTCTTAAAATTATAATAAAGTGTGTTCTTTAAAGTACTTTCATTACAGTGTAGTTTTATATCTCGCATGGGTGGTTTTCCTGTTGAATGTGAAAAGCGGTTGCTAAAAAACCTGAAACTTCTCATTCCCCCCCCCCCGAACCTGGATTCCCTTTTGTGTGAGTGTCTGTGTTAATTTTTAGACTTCAGGTAACTTTGGGATCAAGAGTTTCTGGTCTTATTCTAGCTACGGGATGTGGACGACAGTAAAAAAGATCCAGGCATGGACGTCTGCTACCTTTCCAGTGAAAGAGTGTAATGGCCACCTCTTACAGTGTGGACAGTAGGGC